GAGCTCGCATGCTTGGGGAAGCCTGCAAGCCAGGCTTGACACATCTTTTAATACTGTCCTTTGAAACTGTTCTTACTGAGCAGGTATGGGATTGCCAACATATCTGACTCTTCTGTTCGGGAACAGACCCCATAGGCTGTGATAGTGCAAAATACTTTGTTTTTGTTATTATTTTTCTTCTCAGAACGGAGCAATAGACTGCTTGCACCACGAAGTTACATCAACTCAGCCCAGGGGGCCCTTCAAGGTGCTGTTTGTATTTCTAAGGTGCTTGACAGAGAAAGCCCCAGCTGGGTAAGCAGCGCTCTTCTTCTCGCTGTGTGCAACTGCAGGAACGGACGAGCACAGTCAGTTTTTCCCTTGCCTTGCAAGGTGGATTCTGACATCAGAACTGCAAGACCAGCACGTCCAAGTTCTAGAACCATGTTCCTGACATAGCCTGAAACAGTGTCTATCACAGAGCTGCTGAAAACTGTATGTATAGCAGCTAGCTCTTATATATTAAAGTGTTTAAGGGTTCTGTTTCTTAAGGTTTAACATTTACTTGAAGCCTAAAGGAAAAAAAAAATCATGTAGCCTGATTTTCAAAGTGTCTTATCACCAACACATTCCCTGTTGACTTCCTAGAAACCTGAATACTGAGCCCTTTTAGAGAGCCGGTCAAAAGAACAGTGTCAGTTCCTACTTCAAGATGCTAACTTGCAGCAACTACTTAAATAATGTCTTACATAACAGGGATGAGTTTAAAGATCCTCTGAGAAAGACTGAGCAATAACTACTCCTAATGAGCATTTGCCAGCTTCCTGTGAACGCTTTACAGAAAATTCCTGCTAAGGGGGGGGGAAAAAAAAAGTAAAGAAAAAAAAGGCCAGAAAAAATGGATGATTTTAATACAGCGCACTGACAAAGCACAGGTACACAAACCAAACTGGCATTACACGGTATGGCTGTGAGGTAAAGTGAAAGGGAGGTAATTCTGCAGAATGAAATTGCACACAGGAATAAAGTACAAGAGAGACAGAGAACATGCCGGAATGCTGCCTTTTCTGCACAAAATAACAACTTCAGTGTTTACTGTAACTGTGCAGCAGGTAGGAATACATCTACCCCTCTGTGGCTCAAGCAGGGCTGCAGAAAGGGAAAAGTATCCCAGAAACAGAACAAGGAGTTTCATAGATCTTTTCATTGCTGTTTCACCTTTTCACACATTTTTTTCTCCATTTTTAAAAGTCTTGAATCTTAAAATATCTCAGTATCAAATAATGCAATAGCATTCCTAGAACAGAATGCTTGAAGATCTTCAAAAGAAGATCTAGATGAAGAAGTGACAAACAAATGTGGGTCAAGGAAGTAAGTGAACGTGGAACAGGTTGGGAATTAGGCCTTTTTGGAAGGTCTTCTATGAAGGAAACTGGAATCCTTCTAGTTATGGAAGAAGAATACATTTGGTCCCTGTGGTAAAATACTCATCATTTTCAGTTCACTTGGGAATTCATCTGGGAAACAGCCAACATCATTGGATCCAGAATTAATTTTCTTACAAAAAAAAGTTGAAAGAAAACCTTGGAAAAAGACTTCAAAGAAGGAGGACTTTCCATTAAGTAAACTGTGCCAGAAGATGGCCTCGAAGATAGCAGGCAGACTGCTATGGAGGATGAATAGCATGTTCTCATTTTGTATAAGGTAGGTGAGGTTACAGTTGCTTAATACCTCACCTCTTCTGGCACCTAAGTCTGGATACCAAAATGAGTCAAAGCAGCCAGAATTCATGAAACCCTCTAGCTTATGTAATAGTAGAAAGTTCTGGTTGAATCAGAGATCACTGGAGAATGAGGCTTGACAGGATAAGACACGTTGCCACAGTATTTTGTAGACAGACTGAGCTCTACAACAAAGGTGGCCTTCTGAATCATAGATGTTTCAACAAAGACCAAAACAAGCAGAACTATTAGATGAGAATCAAAGGCAAATTTCCACTATTGTACTTCTTTATGTGAAAATAAATGACATTAATCAAAAGCTTGCCTTCTGGTCTGTGATCATATAGCCATACCAAGATTTAGGGTAAGTGTGTCAAACAACGAAGAAAGATTGATATAACTAGATGTCTAAAATACCAAAAACTACCATCAGGTGTGTGGAACATGTACAAGAAAAGGTGATCCCTGAGCTCAATACACACTCAGTCTTCTATTTTGTAATTCCTGTCACCCATTTACATTAAAACATCATGATGCTTTGTACATGTTAGATATTGTAACTGAACATGAAGCTTGATCTTGGTATGGAGAAGCTATTCATGATGAGTTAATATATGAGGAAGGGTTGGGAATAGCTGTATTTTTGCAACTCAATGGGTAATAAATGGATGAGGAATTCTTAGCATTGCTTTCTTATGAATGAATAAAAAGAGGACAAAGGATCTATGCTCCACTTCAAAGATGCCACTACCTACTTTAAAGTTGTCCATTCAGAAGCATAGGGTCTTGAGCCTTCCTTTGCTTGTAAGACATCATAATGTTCACAGTCCACTAGAGGATTCATTAAAAAAGGGAACAGACTAACAATGATTCCAAGCAACTGTAGTGTGATATCGCAAGGGGTTTCCATTTAACAGAAATAAGCTTAAAACTAGCTAATATGAACAACAAAACTTCCAACGTTCTCACCAATTACATATTAAAGTCCTGTAATTCCACCTGTTGTAGAAGTTCTATGTGAGAGTTTGCTCTGTCTGGTGAAGATTAACCATCAGTAAGCAAAAGTTAGGTATAAATGATCTCTTTAGATAATGGATATGAAAAAAAGACACAGCTTCTGTCAAGAGAATTATGTCTGTATGCAAGCTCACCTTCCTATAACATTTCAAATGGACCAAAGACTAGTAGTATTTGGAGCAAAAACCACCAGAAACTACAAATTAGAGAGCAGCATAAAACAGCCCTGAGAGGTATCTGTGCTAATAGACAATATTTCCAGTTCAAAATAGATAAAATAACAAATATCTATGAAAAAAGAGAGAAATATAATTGATGACAGAGTATTTCAGATATCTTCTAAGCAGAATACTATATAAAGTGCACAACTGGTTTGGTTTTGCAATCAAGAGTTAAAAAATAGTGAGGTGTTCTCAAGATTGTTCATCTGAACCACAACACATCCGAGAATACAGGGATTGGGTGAGATTTTAACTCTCTGTTAGCTTTTGGGTGTAGGAGTATTTTGGGGGGTGTTTTTGTTTTTGGCTGGAGTGGGGCTGTGGGAAGAGTGCCTGTCCTCCAAAGTGCATGGCTGAGATAGCAAAAATATGCACCAGTATGCCAAAACATTATTTGTAGTATTAAGAACAGAGACTGTTGGAATAATAAGACTGAAAAGGTCAAATCAGGACAAAATTTCCTGGTTTGAAAAGCAGAAGAGGAGTCCAGGAAATTTTTTAGTTTAAAAGAGCTCAAAGACTCAGCAGTGCTTAGACAAATATTTTATTTATATTGCAAAGGTATTTGAAGGTGCTTAGGAGAGTTTCTGGTTCTAGTGTGCTGGACGCTTCCCACACAGAGAATAAAATTATATAACTGAAGGGCAATTTTGTAGGTGTCAAGTCAAAAAATGAAGAACACCAGAGCACATTGACAGAGTCTTGAACATGCAGTGACTGTGATACTGGAGCTGCAGTTTTGCAGAACCACAGCAGAGCAGGGAGCTAAGGAGATGTTTGCAGGAAGGGACTGGAACATCAGAGATTTCTAGGGACTTTTTTCTCTGAATCTATTGGCAAGGAACTGGTTGCATAAGAGGGAACAAAATGATAATGCAATGAAATTTGGTTTGAAATAACAAGTCAGAAAAATAATCACTGTAGCAATATTTAGAATATGTTTCAGATAATGCTTCTCTGTGTCTCAGTTTGTAAAAGGGAATATTAATGCTGAACCACCTGGTCACAGCATTTTGAGATTTGTTAATAAAAACATAGGAGTAGGATAAAAGAAAGCAGCAATTCAGTGCCAAGGGGAAAAAATATATATATTAATAATGAGATGAAGTGCAGCATGATTGTGGATCAAATCAGATAATACAGTTTGGCAAACTGTAGACAAAACAGTAAACACTGAGTAAAGGCCACAGTGGTGAGAATCAAGCTGAATATAAAGCAAGAATCTTGAGAATCTTGCCACCATCTGAAATGCTGAGAATGTATCAACAGCAACACCCAACAATAAATAACAAATAACAGCGGGAGAACAAATGGCTTTGCAAAATGAGTCTCCTGGGAGAAGAAAACAAATGGCTTTGCAAAATGAGTCTCCAAACTACACAACGTTATGTGCCAAGAGTAGAGGTGAATATTTGGCAGTTCACAGTAAGGGCAACAAGGAAAACTCTGAGGCTAAAAATCTGATTGTGCAGAAGGCACCTGTATCTGCATTTGAAGCAATCTAGAATCATGGATACATGGCACGTTTGAAAATCAAGCTATAAAAAGATTAAAACTCACAATCAAGCTAGACAAGAACTCGGCAGTGACTTTTCAATTAAGGGCATCTAAAGGCTGTGATTATTCACCTGAAGGAACCAACAAAGGCCAATTTAAACTTTATATTTAAACAAAATATAAGAAAACTGTCTTTAAGGAATGATAATATGGGAAAGCATCCCGCATAAGCAGGAAAAGTTTTGAACATCTTATTTATTTCTTGGTAAATAACCTCTTCCTGCCATTGAGGGCACTCAGACAGCTAATGAGGTAGGTATAGCACAACCAAGTCCTTCTCATAAATAACAGTGATAACACTTTCAACCTTAATAACTATTGGCCTAGAACAAAAATTATGATACTAATGGGCTTATGCATCCCTGAGAGGGAGTACAAAACTGGAAGGACATGAGTCTTCTCTGTTGCCTTTTGCCTTACTTCCTCTTTTGGAAAAGGGTCATCCTTTCATTGCCATGATGGGAAACTGCATTATAAAAAATAAATGCATCCTCACAACACTAACGTGAGAAGTGTTTTTATTATAGATGAGAAGCCAGAAAAGTTAATTGAGGTGCCTATGGCCATGTAAGCAGTCAGTGACAGACCTGGGATTCATGACTTCCTTGCTTCCTGCATCATGTTCAAATAGTTATCTACTTGAGAGCCAGAGGCTCACTGCATGGTTGTTCTAACATAACTATATAAAAAGAGTCATGCAAGGGTTGTAGCACAAAGTCTTTGAAGAATACAGCTCTCTGTACCAGAAAGCAGATTTCTTCTGGAAGCTGCGTGCAATTGGGAACCTCTGGTGGGAAGTACACATCTGGTTTCTTAACCCTGGAATGTTTGGTGCTTAAGGCTTAGCACAATGAGGACCATTTTAATGACTAAATGTAACAGAGATAGCCTGCGCAGGCATAAATTACAAGGTGTCTGGTAGTGGAAAAACCGTCTCTCTGTGCTCTTCTGACTCTTTTTTTAAAAAATAAAAGAATTAGCCTGGTTAATTCAGTGGACCCATCACATATAACTATAGATCAGTCTATATTTCCATGTCCACAGGTCGGATATCTCCAGTTTTGTGTTCTTTTACCCACAGTTCTCTGTCTTTGGCAGGATCCACTTTCCGAAGCAACTGATCCACAAGCTCTACTGTCTAAAAGGTACATAAAAAGAATCAAAATGTCAAACACATGTTTCAACTAGAGACAGTCATTATTCTACAGTCCTAAGCAGCAACAGGCTGGGGACGCCTACAACATATTTGCAGATGAGTGAGGACTGCATGTACTCAAGGATGGGTTGACAAAACTCAGGTCTGAATGGGAAGCCTAACAGAGGTGAGCAGAAAAAAGGCAGGCTTCTAACATAAAGCAGAGCCAGGGTTCTTATATCAAGCATTGGCCAGTCAGCCTTTGACTCCTGTATTTCAATATATACCTTACATCAAGTCCAATCATATACTATAGTTCAGCAAACATCCCCTGTATCTGAATATTTGAAAAATAGCCTTTTTTTTCAAAGATTATACTTCTTCCCCCCATCAGTAAAACTGTGTGTTTATCATCTTCCCCTTTATCACAAAGCCAGTCAGATGAGAATGTGCACCGTTCTGCTCAGATGAGGAGCAGTAAACTCCAAAAGGAATGAGTAGAAAGCAGACTTACACTTTGGTTGAACATGTCTGTCTCGTGCCGCAGCTGTGTGTACTGGCAAAGATGCTGCCGAATCATCTCCACCCTTTCTACTTCTAGTCTCTCAAGCTCCTGAAAAGGGGGGAAAAACAAATCCACATTTTTCCTGCAAACTGAGCTTGAAGGCCTAGAGGAAGGCTGACAAAGAAAAGTTTCCCAGTTAGTGTGCTGCTGCCTCAGGGTCACGCTTTAGAGTTGAACCCGGCAGTTACACATCTCTGATGAAGAGATGGCAGCAAACAAAAGAAATCATTTCAACTGGAGCCAAAGGACAGCAAAGAATATTTAAACCTTGCTAAAAGTGAGACTGCCAACGGAGAGACAATAGCTACTGCCTTAAGGTGCACTGCAAGGGAAAGGGAACCATTTCCTGATGGAAGCTTTGTACGCTTTGTTGCTAGTTTCAGATAGGGATTTCATGGGGAAGGAGGAAACAGTGTTGTGGTACACAGCTCAGACCTGCTACACGAGTCTCATCAGACACCTTAGGAGCAGCTTTAAGTGTTCACCAGATGAGACAATGGGACAAGTCTCCTCCTGGTACAGCTAACTTGTACCTGCTCATATGTGCTCTCATTCCAGCTTGAAATCACTGGCACTTATAGTCTCTGTCATTTGTGTCAGTGAGAAAATACCACTGCAGGTGAGAGGAGAATCACATCCCTTACACCTAGGGATACCAAACTTTCTCTCTCTCGTTCTGCTTTTCAGAAGAGGTTTATCCGCTGGATTTTCTTATCCATCTGCCTTTATTTAATTGAGGGCTTAAATATTACACACACACACTTCCAAATGCTCAGTGCTGTTCTACTCTGTTTCTCATTTGGAGAAATAAGAACTGTGAACTGGGAACTGTGTTATCTTCAGAGAAACAGAAAAAATGGCAATTAAATCATGCCCCTTGTGAGTTAGTAATACTAGGAAGAAATAATAAAATTATGGGATAAAAAATATATATAACTGGATAAAGTGATTGATCATGTCTCTTTCCTTGTCTTCCCTGCTCATTAGTTCATTCTCCCTGAGGTTAATTCCAGCATCCTGGCTCCTAAGTAGTTCTAAGCAACTGCCAAGTTTAATGTATTCTGCAAAGAGAACATTTTTTTCCTCTTTCCTCATGACATGACTTTTCCTTGGAACTGAAAACATGAAACAGAGTAGAAGATTTATCATCTAATTTTTCCCACCGCTTTGCTCTGTCACTAGCTATGAGTTATAAGCTATTACAACTTCCCAATGTTTTAAATGTAAGATGCTAGACAGAGTTACATACCAGAGTGGTGGTCACCATTTCCTCAAACCACTTGGACTGGGCTTGGTTATAAAGATCCACACAGCGCATCAGGTCATCTCCTAAAAAGTTCAAGACAGCAAGACATTAGCAGCCACGTATTATAGCCACATATTATGGAGCTTAGAAGGAAGTTGCAGCTCATTTTTTCATATGCAGATCCAGAATTTTTGAAGTTCAGTCCATGTGGAGCTGAATGCAGTTCTGTTACATGATATTTAATAGGTGCAACAAAAACAACTCAAACAAAATGAACGTACTTGATGTTTGATAAAAGATCAAGTGATTGGGTGAAAAAAGTATGAGAGAGAAAGTGCTTTATGCATTAACTGAGGAAGAATCAAGCTTAACATTGCCAATAAAGTGCCAAAAAAGCAGATGGATCTGAAAGTCTCTTGCTTGCTTCAGCTGCAATCTTAAAAAAAAACGAAAAACCAACAACAAAAAACACTTTTCAGTTACACAATCTCTCTCCCTGCAACAAGAGAATAGATGGCTAATTACATAATTACCTCCCATCTCATTCCTTTCGCATCTTCCTTGCTGGCTTATTGGTACTATATTTACATCCTGCTGGCCATGCATGTACTCACCTGCCTGGGTAGACTTCCGTCTGGCCTTTTTAATTTCCTCTTCTGTCTTGTTGCTGAGTTTCACCTCCAGTTGCTGAGTTTTCATTTCCAGATCCTTCTGTCTCTCTGTCAAGGCTTTCCGAGCCTTGGAGTAATTAAAAGATAGTCAGATGTTTTACAGGAAAAGTGTGCCCAATTGTTTTCTGCTGTCTGTGATTCTTCCATACTAACATTTCTCAGTAAGAAGTCAGGGATTCTACATAAAACTGACTCGTAAATTGGAATGTGATGATTCATGTTCCTGGGAAACTGTGTGGTATTCAAGAAGTGACCCACACACCATAAAAATATTTTTTGCTGAAAAAATAGGAAAGCATCTATACCCTTCCCAGGTCTCTAACTATCTACCCTTACAAAGGCAGAGTATAACATGCAACATCACATTTTCATGTTTCATTCTTGCTTTTCCCATAACAAATAAGAGATCTGAAATTTCGTCCAAATACATGACAGATACCACCAAATCTTTCACCTGCCGCTTTTCTCTGCATCTAAACTCTTGAAAGAATTTCAAATGTCTTATAGAATTTCTCTCCTGAATTTCAGTATAAATTTATATAGAACCATGAAGTTTTAGGCTTATTTATGAAATACTGATTTAGCCAATGATAATTCATATTTTAGAAATCAGGAACTTAAGGCCTGCCTTACGTTTAACTTTAAACTGCATTACCTTAAACTTCTTCAGGCTTTTAAATACAGATTTGTCTGTATAATAATTAAAATTATACAGGAAAATGAGTGAAGTGTCTGAACAAATAATCCTAATTACCACATATGCCAGTTGTCATTGTCTAAATACATAAACTCAAAATCACTTGTTTTGCGCAGACCGTTCAATTTGTTATCAAATAGGTCACATTTTTCTTCCCTCAGAGTATTTAAAGCTAATTTGGATACTGATATTTTCTTAGCACTTTGCAGTTTTCTACATTCAGACCAGTTTTTGAGTTACAATGCTGTTTTTCACAGTCAAATTGGTTTGTGAGTTACAGTGCTTTGCAGGCAATTACCTTATGCTTTTCAATTTGCTATTTAAAGGATGTGGACTTAGCCTGGCAGGTCACAAGAGGGAGCTGCAGTAAAAGAATTTGGTGAGAAGTTGTATTCGTCATCCATCATAACTGCAGATGAGGCTATTTCTTTCGAATCATTTTTTTCAATATGCCAATATTTCTTGCAGATATGACTGTCAAGAACTTATTAGGTTGGAGAAAAATGCCTTCCCTGCACTTCTCTGCAAAGTATAATTACTTTGTGTATCCTACTACAAACTCTGTCTCTGGGAGAATTTTCTTATGAATATTCAATCTTTAATGAAAGTCCCAACAGGGGTTGCTGGCTAAATTGTTTTCATTTGCAGTTCATTCTCAAGAGAATACTGAGGATACAACAGCAAACAAACAAACAATTTGGCATAACTGGTGGAGGCAGAGGTATCCAGTTTCCTGCCAGTTAGTGATAAGACAGCATCTTTTGTAGACATAACACTCCATAAAGCATGACCTCAGATGGATGTTTATATTGAAACAGTATCAGATTCTAGGGTGCTGCTATGATTTGGGTTTTGAAATAATAAGATTTGCTATGAGGCACAGAAAGCTGGAGCCTGGAACAGTGTTTTCCTAATTCTCATTACATGTTTGAGCTGCCTTCTTTGGCTACCTGCTTTTGGCCACTGTAAGAGACAGGATACTGAGACAGATGAAACTTTGTTCTGACCCATTGCTGTTCTAATGCAGTAATTTTTGACAGCAATGCATGCGACTTCTAGGCTCACATGAGTGAGGAATATTTTAATCACATGTATTCAAAATTCTTTAACCTGAAGTAGGAGGGGGCAATGCAATGGAAAAGCACTTCAGTAATAACATCTTAGCATTGGCTGTAGCCTTCAGTTTCCCAAAACTAAGCTAAGCAGAACACCACGTTTTGAGCCTAGCAATGCATAAATTTTAACAGAAAACCCTCAAAAGAATCCTTTGTGCCTTTTTTTGTGTGTGTGGTAGAACAGAAACTTTCCAAGAGACAGTTGCTTTCTTGTCCCAGGCAATACCCTATTAAAATCTCCATTTTGTTCTCTGCTCCCACCTTTTCAACTGCTGCATAGCGGCTGGCCAGATGCTTCCGTAAGTCTGCAATATGATGGTCACACTTTTTCATGTCTTTCTTAAAGTTCTCTCTAAAGTTGAGCAGGGGTTTCTCCACCTCGCTCTGAAGCTTATCAAGAAAACAAAAAGGAAGAAATGCTAACAGTTAACAGCTAACAATCAAGATCACATAATATGACAGCAAATACAGCTGCTGATTCTTATGGACAGACAGTGTGACATTAGACAATGGCCACAAACTGAGTGTTGCAAGATTCAGGATGATATCATTAAAAAATAGCATAACGATGGCAGTGGAGTATTGGAACAAGTTGAATGGAGAAGTTATGAAATCTCTGTCCCTAGAGTTATTCAAGACAAATTTCTCTGTGCATGTCTGTTACAGGATAGGAGAGGCTTAGGCAGAAATACAGAGGCATAGATTAATAAACCAGAGGACCTATGCAGCTGAGTTATCAGAAACCAGCTTCAAAACTGCTTCTGATCACACAAGTACTTATCTTCTTTGCTCTATCAGCATTTATGGAATGTCTGGTAACATTCAGCCCAATCCATCTCACTATGACTTCTACTACTATAATATGTGCAAATCTTCAAGAACAGAATCTCTCTACTGCAATTAAGCAATGGATATTACATGGATGGAAAAAGGATTCAATACAATGATGGCCTTCTTGAAGGATTCTTTGTGTGCACAGATATTGTCTACAACTATCATTCCAGTCCTCACAGGCATCAGTAGTATAGCAACATCTCATTTTTGAAATGCCCCGAGAGTGCTGTCACTCTCCATAATTCTCCATTTAACAGAGCTGAGGGAGTGCCATCAAAGTTGCTCAGTATCTTCACAGTAGTGTTTACTTTTGAATATTCCTGGTATATTCTGCACTGTGCTGCTTGCTTTGTGTATAACACTGCCTGGTTTCATTTGACTATCAATAAAAACTTCATTTATTATCTTTATGAATGGCTTTTCTGAGAATAATAGCAATAATCAATAAATGTAAAGTGTCCTGTTAATAAAATAAAGCTGGAACTAGCAGCTGCTTATCGTCCTAAACAAATAAAGCAGCAATGTGGAGGGAGGTCAGAGGATGAGACAGGAGTTCCTGTGGAGGGTTTATGGAGAAGTAGAATAATGAAAGATATATGGGTTCTTTTGACTACCTGCATGCTCCACACTCCACAGTGCATTTTTTCCTCTTGGAAATCAAATTGTGAAGCCAACAGGGAGCAAAAAGTATTTCACTAATTAAACTCTAAAGTAGTAGAAGTTTGAAAAAGAACAGTGGGTTACCAAGACAACTGCTAGCTGCCTTAGTAACCTGTGCATAATCACTCATAAACAGTACAGAGCTATAATTTTCCTCCAGAACATAACTGTTGTGCTTACATATCCAGAATTATATTGAACATGATCACCCACAGAGGTTAACATAATGTAACAGGATGCAAGATTATGTCACATGTGCTGTAAAAGAACAGATAAATATAATAATTTTTAGATGAAATCTCCTTGGGCATCACTTGACAGAAGATCCAAAAATAACTCCAAGTAAGTTCCCACTGCACTTTTCAGAAAGCTTAAAAATGCTAACAAGTAAGAGCCCTGAGTTGTAATCCTTTCAGACAGATTTGCTAGATTCTTTTCAAGAAGCCAGGATTTTTTATTTTTAATTCCTCTACTGAAGTAATCTCTACAAGCTACCGCTTATTTGAAAGTGTTAGAATTCAGACCTGTAGGTAAGTAATAGCTAGAGTCAGATTCCTTCTTATTATGAAACAAACGCAGGGCTAGATCTATTCTAACCTACTTATCAGGTAGATTAAATAAATTATGTTTTTGGCAGGAAAAACAGTTTCATTCACCAAATTCAGAGGTTCATTCACCAACTTCTTCATTCTTCAAAATACATACTATATGCGTGTGTATTTTGCCCATTAATAACCACCGAAGGAGTGACTCTCAGCAACTGCAGGACAAAAATCTTTGAAAAAGGGAGAATTAATTTACCTTTGAGGAAAATTTGAGATGAACCTCTGCTTCATCAGCTAGACTCTTCTTTAGTTGTCCCCAAGCCTCTCCCAGTGTTCTAAAACACCAATGCAACAATGATCAATATCCTGTGTTCTAAGCATCATCTCAGTAAAACTTGTAAGACAGTTCATCATGTCACGTACCAATGTTTAATACCATATCATGCACAGCAGAATCACAGAAAAGAAATAGCAAATACCAGATAATTCATCTCTCTAAATTAAGACAGAATTGTATTTATATCACATGTAACGACCTTTGACCATACTGTTCTTCAAGACCTCCAGTTATAGAGATTCTAAAATCTCCTTAAGCACTGTATTTCAGCATTTTATCCTCATAGTTAAAAAGTTTTTTTTTTCCTAATACTTAAAATAAATTTTAACCTATGCATTTTTTTCCATTGTCATTCATACTTCACACCTTACTTTAGGTGAACAGTTTAGTTTATTTCTTCTGTAGAAGCCTGTTAGCATTTGGAATTATCAAGTGTTCTTTCCACCTTCTCTTTCCTACAGAGATGTTGTTTCGCAGACTCTGATCCCTTTAGGTACATTCCTCCAGACTCTCCAATAGCCTGGATTCTTCTTAAATGTCATAACGAAAACTACACAGTCTTCCAGATGAAGCCTTCCAGTTGTTAAACCAAAAAGGAATAAATCATAAGAGAGACTCCTTTTACATATCTCAGTATAATTGCTTTTTTAAGATGCTAGTGTAAAGTTGCTGATGAATAAGCTTGTGATTCACTACAACCAGATCTTTCTCCCACAAACCGTTACATAACTATCTTTCCCGACCTGTGATGCCTGAGAGGCATCTTCATTTTTTTCAGTTCATTTCTCTAAGGATAAACCTTATGGAATTTCACTCCACAGCTACTTTCTGTTGGTAAACAGTAGGCTTACTCAAACAGTTTTGCCCTCAGTTTTTATTTAGGCCACATTTCTCTTGCCTGTCTACAAGAATCTCTCATTGTCAAAAGCTACACTAAATTAAGAGTTATGATGCCGACTCCTTCTTCCACATAGACCGTTATTCCATTGACATAATTTGTTCCGTGTACATCCACAATAATTAGTCATCACCTTGTTTTCTGCTAAATCCTTCTAGAATGTTTGATGGTTTTTCCACCACTTATCCAGGAGATTATATAACCTGGATCTATAATTTCCTGACTCCTCTCTCCCCACACTTTTCAAAGTCACAACTGCTTATTCCTACTAGCCCAAAACATTGCCCATCACCTGCCCACTCTGAGGTCCCCTCTCACTGCCCATTTCTCACTAGAACTAGTTATTTTAGTTGCATGATCGTAGTTGACCTTTTCAGTACAAATCAATCTCCTATGCATCTTATACATATTTTATTCAACTTCAACAACTTAAATGATCATAGATTATATCATCTTACATACACATGCAACAACATAACCACAGCAACATGACTAGAACCACCATACACATGCAACAGCACCATAACCACAGCAACATGACTAGAACC